TGATACCAACTGTAACACCCCGAAATTTTGAAACTTTTAAAACTTATATAATAAAGGTAATTTCTCATAAAATCCCTAATAGATCATTACTAATCATAAGGGTGCGGGGTGCTATGCCACATCTGAGCTGGAGAACTCAGATGCACAGGCTAAACTAACTAAATATCCTCAATACAATGTAATGGCACGCAGGCCAAAAGGAGAAACTATCTATCTAATCCAAATTCTTCTAGCGCGCTCCGGAAGCTAATCGTCTGTGCCTGAAAGCCAAATACATCTGTTCAACGAGAGATGCTGGTAACCCACTCCAACCTGTTGAAATACAATATAGGTATATATATATATATATATATATATATATATATATATATATATATATATATATATATATATATATATATATATATATATATATATATATATATATATATAGGAAAAAACATTTTGAAGCAGGAAGATATATACTTAGGAAACTCTGGTTTTCAAATCGGGAATAGACTCAGCAATAGGGACGTGCACATTAATCAATGATAAACAGATAAGTAGAGATAACATCATAACGAATACGCATCTAAGGTCACAGTCCACTTTCCAATTCCATCACATCCACATTCATTCATCATGCATCACACATAATCCTTGATGGCGCCACGGGACCAATTGCATGCCCCGAACATGAGGGTCAATGCTTATAGCTTTAACACGGTCCCACAACACCCTACCACGATACCGTGGTATTAGGGGAGTTGATCGCAACCAACCCTTTTAGAACCGTTAACGAACTCAACATCGGACCATGATCCTACACACCGCTGATGCACCCAGTCGGTGGACCGCGATCCCCTTTTCAAGGGGGGACTTACGACCCTACACACCGCCGATGGGTACGCCGGTGGACCATAGAGGATCAAGCCCGACACACCGCGGAGCTATACTCAGTCTGTGGGCAAAGATCCTCGGAGACTATGGCCCTACACACCGTCGTCCCATCGCTCGGTGGATCGCAGCCAGCCGTAGCCCTACACACCGCCCCGATTACTCGGATCGGTGGACAACAGCCTTCCTCGACTTATTAGCCCTACACACCGTCCTGGCGCGTTCAGGTCCAGTGGGTCATAGCACCGAGGCCCATGTGGACCGCAGCCCAAGAAGTGAATCACTGACCGCAGCCAGGAGAATGGACCGTAGCTCATGAGTAATCAAACAGTGGACCGCATCCCTTTATAATATTTATATACCTGACCGATCGCAACCGGTCTGGTTAACAATTGGTATGGTTCTCAACCCATCCAACTGCCCGAATAGCCAATTTGATCGCAACCAAATTGGGGAATCATGCATCACATAACACATAGTAGCACGTAGTAGCACATAGGGAAGGGAAAGACTAATAAATAAACCTACGTGTGATCATCCACATACTAAGAATAGTCCTAATGGTTCATACAACTTCTACCTAGGTCAACGGGTTACCAATTCAACTAGCATGCAATACCCAAGACTCATTTATCCTACGAACGGTAACCGAAATATCAAACTAGACTCAAGCACGACAAACGGGGTCCGTTGGGACACCATGAGGAGTGGGGAACATCAAACGGGGACGCCAAAGACCCGTGGTGGGTGACAAACCAGTGGGTAGCCGGTGGGTGGAGGGCCACCCGCCGGCGACGAGTTTCCGGACAGCGGGTGCCCGGCGGGTAGTCGCCTGCCCGCCGGCTGCCCGCTGTCGGTGAAGTTGTCGGCTGCCCGCTTGGCTTTTGACTTATATATATGTATTCCGTTTCGAAAATGGTTTTTATATCTTATATCTACCTATTTATGATACTTAACGGTATTGGTGGGTTACCAGCATCTTTCACTGACCGGGCGTCGCCCCGATGTTTATCTTTGTATCTTTCAGGTGTTGAGTAGTCGAGCGCGATGTCTAGAGCCGGTAGCTTAGCACCTGTATCTTTAGACTGTGTTTTTGTGGCCTGCGTGCCAATGGTTTAGATTGTTTTTAGACTGATGTTTTGGGTTAGTGTGATATACTTGCAGATTGTCGCCTTAGCGTTACCTCGTGTGGTATACGTGGCATAACACCCCTGTTTTGGATTTCTTTTATCCAGTTTCCGTTTTCTTCCGCTATGCTAGTGTTTTGTTGTTAATCTGCATGTGTTAAGACTTGTTTTTAGGTCTTGTTGTTTTGGGGGTGTTACAGTTGGTATCAGAGCCTAGGTTTTGAGCCTAGGAAGAGTTGAGTCTAGACTTTCTAAGTGTTTAAGTGTGTTTTGAGACCTCTAAGCGACCTTAAGGAGGTAAGTGTTAGACTTAGGACTCTAGGTTGCGCGGTGAGATGTGCGTTGCTTTCTGTCTTGCTTGCTTGCTTGCTCTTTTGGTAACCTTGTTGTTGTAGTAGAGGTGCGATGCCTCCTCATCCTCGCGCTCGCACCCCAGAGACCCCGACCAACGAACAGCTCGCCCAGAATCTCCATCAGTTGACACAGACAATGCAGTCTCTCAGTGAAGCTCTGTTGAACAACAATCAAGCTGCGCCGCCTCCGCCTCCGATTAGGCATCGCGATGTGGGTCGTTTAGTGTCCGGGCATCGGCCGCCTTCCTTCGCTGGTGAAGAAGACCCTGTAGTCCTTGAAGAGTGGTACGGGTGTTTGATAAGATTTTTACCATGGTGGGCTGTCCCGAAGAGAGGAGAGTAGAACTGGCAACGTTCTACTTCTGCCAAGAAGCTGATCTGTGGTGGGTTCACGAGAGTCCGACCTTTCTTGAAGAGCCTGGGTTTGATTGGACCGCGCTCAAGGACAGGATGCGCGAAAGGTTCTACCCAGCGCATGTGCGAGCCGCCATGTTTGATGAGTTCCTTCATCTGCAGCAAGGGCCTCTATCTGTGGTGGAGTACCACAAGAAGTTCCTAGAGCTGGTGCGCTTCACGAGGGTGTTGGTGCCTACAGAGCTTGCCAAAGTTGAGCGTTTCGTTGCCGGTCTGAATTATGAGGCACGAAAAGCGTTGACGGTGAGTAGGCCTAGTTCTCTCAAGGATGCGTATCTGTGTGCCGCGGATCTGTTTCGTGTTCAGCAGCTTCAGAAGAGTTCACTTGAGTTGGCTAGGAAGAGAGTTGAGAGTGGAGGTTCTTTTGGTTTCAAGAAGCCCCGACCGAGTTTTCCGGCTAGAGTTGTGTCATCTTCTTCTCAAGGACCAGTTAGGGTGGAGCCTCCGGTTCAAGCTAAGTCGGTTGGTTGTCGCAAGTGTGGGAAGGTGCACCCGGGCCAAGTTTGCTATGGCCAGGCGTTTAAGTGTTTTCGCTGTGGGGTTGTTGGTCATAGAGTTGCGGAGTGTCCCCAACTTGCTGGTCAGAGAGCGTTGCCGCCACCCCCGAGAGCTAGAGGAGCACCAGGAGGGAGTTCAAGTCACGGAGCTGTTGGAGCTAGGCCGCCTGGGAGAGTTTTCATGATGGCGTGTTCGCAGGCGGAGTCGGAGGGTCTGGTGGAGGAGGAGTTAGCAGGTAACCCTTGTTTTCGAGCCTATCATTGTGTCCCCGAGAGTGTTGTGTTCTTTGTTGCCTTGGGTGCTATCTTGTGTTTCGTAGTTGTCTTTGTTTGTCAATCCTCGACATGCTTTCCTTGTTAGTTTTTCGTTGAAGTGCTTAGTATAGACTCTTTTCTTGCTAAGTGTTTTCTTTAATTGGTATCTTGTTTGTGGTAGTCATCTATCCTTGAGTTATCTTGTGCTTAGCCCAATTCTTCCACCTTTGTACTTGGTTGTTCTTACAACAATTCCTTGAGCTTTTCCCTAAATTTTCCAAGTATTCTTTGATTTGGAAAAATAGCAAATCCCTACCCAAAATCTTTCCTTGTGTAGCCTAAAAGTTAAGCCTAATGTTTCTTTGTAATCTTTGAGTTTCAAACCCTAGCCAATTTCTTTTCTACCCAACCTCTAAACTACTTGAGCCAATTATCTTTCTTGAAACCTAACCTATTTTATTTCCTTTTAAACCTTAAATTCCCACTTTGTTCAAAATCCCCAAATTTAATCATCTTTTTCCCAATCTCACCCAAATCCCTAATTTCTCTTCCCAAATTCTCTTCTTCTTTTTCCTTCTCCCTACCCGTGAGCTACCCGAAGCCATCCTACCCCCCACCAACCTGCCCGTCGCACCACCGTCTCGCCACCGCCGGAGCCTCGCCGCACCACCGCCGTCGCCGGTCTGCTTCGCCGCGTCGCTGAGAGAGAGAGAGAGAGAGAGAGTGCAGAGAGAGAGAGAGTGCAGCGAGAGAGAGAGGCAGCGTGAGTGTGAAGAAGGAGAGTTGTGGGCTTTGTTTGTTGAGCTTTGGATCATCTCCTACCATGCCTAGAAGGTCAAGCTTGGCTAGGAAAGCGGAATGGGTGGATGCCCACTACCTTGTGCTTGAAGGTAAAGCTTTTGATCCGGAATCTTTTTCAAGTTCCTTGTTGGATTTGCTTATGTTTCAAGGTTTGTTAGATGGGTTTCTCGCCATAAGGGCCGAGACTTACCCGAGTTTGGTGAAGGAGTTTTACCGTCACATGGTGGTGACGAAGGAAGGTGAAAGGCTTGAGATCACCTCTAAGGTGAGAGGTGTGAAGGTTGTGTTGTCTGAGAAGAGGTTAGCTCAGTTGTTGAGTTTGTCTGCTACCAGAGTGGCTCAGTACAGTGGTCATTCTTGGATTAGTACGGATACCATGGGGTACCGTGACTATTTGAGTTATCTGTTTGGCCGTACCAGTGGTTTCACTCAAGCTTCGAGGCTGGAAAAGAAGTGGTTGTCTGCGGAACAAAGGATCTCGGTTATGTTGGTGTCAGATTGTTTGTTGCCTAACAACAACAAGAGCAGTTTGTTGGGTAAGTTGGAATTTACCTTTGCTTTCTGTCTGAAGAATATGGTTAAGTTCAATCTGCCTGCTTTGATGATGCAACACATGGTGTTTTGCAGGGATCACAACCGGAAGAGTTTGCCGTATGGCATGGTGCTAAGTTGGATCTTGGTTAAGAAAGGTGTTAGTGTGGATGGTTGTCTCCCGAAGGCTGTGGGAAAGATGGTGTTGGATACCGCCAATCTCCGAAGTTGTAATCTGTTTCAATTGGATAGTGGTGAGTACATCACGCTTGAAGAGGTTGCAAGGAAGGCACCTGTTGAGAGAGCAGAGTTAGCTGCTGGGCTTGGGATCCATGCCAGGAAGTTGAGCCTTGCAGTCCAGAGTTTGGGTGGTGACAAAGAAGTTGAGGAGGAAGCAGATCAGGAAGAAGAAGAAGGAGCACCGGAGACCGCTGAAGCTGAAGTAAGTGAATTAGACAGTGAGGAAAGCCGGAGAAGGAAAGAAGTTCGCACCAAGAGAGAGCAGGACGTCGTCTCTTTGCTTCGACAGCAGAACAGTTTGATCGCCGAGGGCTTTGCGTTTGTGAGGTCGCAGTTTGTCGCAGTGCATCAGAGGCTGGATCGGTTTGGAAGCTAGTTCAAGTCACAGAGATGAAGCCGAAGAAGAAGAGTCTGAAGAGGCCGAAGAGTCAGAGAGTGAGGAGTTCTAGTGGTGTTGTGGTAACCCCGTTCGCTTCTTCCTTGTTGTTTCTTAGCGGTTGTAGCTTGGTGTTAGGTTGTTGTGTGTTTTGTGTGCTTGCTTGTTTTGTTTGTTGCCTTGTTGTTTAGCTAGTTTGCTAGTTGGTGTTTGGGTTAGTTGTTGAGTTCTTGGTTGTTGTCTAGAAGTTGGTTGTTGTGTTGAGGGTAGAGTTCTTGATGCTCAATCTATCCGTTTGTTGACCCCTTGCTAATCCTTGAAATCGTAATGTCTTCTTCTTTGCTTTGGAACCCTTGTGAGAACTTTTGGAGTTTTTGACCAAAAGGGATATTCTTGAAATTTCTTGTCACAATTTTGTTTCCTTGTTACTTTCGTTTTAACTCGTTGTACCCAAGTTTCGGGGACGAAACTTTTTTGAAGGGGAAGAGAATGTGACACCCCAAAAATCCACACTCCAATCCATGAATTAATTGAGTAATTAATTCTATTTCTTTGAGGAGTTGATTCCTAAAATCCTGATTTTTGATACTCAAGGACTAGTATTTGACTAGTCAATCTTTAAGTTGTGTTGTACCTTGTGCTTTGAGAGGAGTTCCCTTGTTCCTTACACTTTCTAAGAGTTAGTAAGGGTATCCTTTTCTTTTCACCAAGAGTTAGTTTTGTAACCCAAACCTAGAAGACTTCTTCATTTTCATCCCTTACAATTTCTAGAAAATATATCTACTTTCTCTCTAGAAAAGAAGAGTAGCTTGTTCTTCAAGCCAAGTGAGACCTTTGTCAAGATTCCAAGTTTTGCTTCCAAGATTCAATCTTTCATCTATTTTGGCATCTAGAATCTAAGCTTGTCTAGTCTTTTTGGTTCCATCTTAGTAGTCTTTTTCTTAAAGGTGGGATCTTTATGATCTTTTGGTTTGATCTTGAAGTGGGTTTGGCTAGTGAGCTTAGTGGAGAGCTTGTTGTGGTGTAAGAGGAGTCTTTTGGTCTTCAAGAGGTAACCCATGCTCTACAAAACCTATTTTGCTTACCTATATGTGATTTCTTGGATTTTACTTGTGTTTTGCTATGAAATGTGAGGGTTTATGCATTTATCTTGTGATATTGCATATCTAGAGCCTGTGCTTAGGATTCCTTTGTGCCATTGCTTGGAATTTTCCTTGGTTCAAGTCATTTTGTTGTGTTTGGTGAGATTTGGCATGTTTTGGACTTGAAGTTGTGTTTGGAGAAGAAAATCTCCGAAGGGATTTGTTGTGGTACAGGGACGTACCCGCGGGCGGGGCACCACCCGCTGGCCTACCCGCGGGGAACATGTTGCCTTGTGGGTTGTGTACCCGCGGGCGGGACCACGGGTGGGGCATTAAACGTGGGTCCACCCGCAGGGAACACAGTGGTGTGGTGATCGGGATTTGTTCCCCGTGATTTGTTTGTCTCGGTGTTTGATCTTTTGGCTTCCCGTTGTTCTTTTGTGGAATTATTTGAGCGTCTTCTTGATGTTTCGTAGGTCTAGAGCTTTATGGTAGGTATCCATGTAGGATCTTTGGTTTCTTGAATCGTGCTAAGTGTTCAACATTGTGTTTCGTTGAACCAAGAAGTGTCTTGTGTGTTCCTTGGAACTATCTTGAGTTTCCCCGTTGATAAGCATGCTAGTTTGTTGTCTTAATGCTAGCGTGTGTGTTGTTCGTACCTTCCGTTTGGTGGATGATAACTTGTGTTATTCATCGTTGTTGTTGTTGGGCTGTGACCCGTCTCTTGATTGAGTGTGTTTCATACCTTCTTTGCAATCCGTTGATTGATTCGTGTGAGTGGTGGTGCGTGTGTGGCTCTACCTGGATTGCACGATTAGTGGTATGGGACACTAGTCACCAAGGTATTGCAGCGGTCCTCGTGGTGACCGTGACGTGATTATGGAGCTGTGGCTGAGTCCACGTGATTGGGGGATAACATTGTGTTATCCGGGCATGTGTTGCCGTGATTGGTGGGTTTTCGTTGGTGGTTATAGGCGGGGGACGACGGTCCCGGCGGAATAAGGTTGGACTTGGCTGTACAGGGGATTTCTGGAGGTAATGGTTGGCTTTGAAGGTACAAGGTTGGGGGTAGCCATAAGGTTGGAACAGGGCATAAGGAAGGCATATCAACTCGTGATGGGTGATGTCACAAGGGCTTGTAAAGCCGGTGTTGTGTGATCTTCTCTCGTGACGTGTGTAGTCACGGAGGCTTGTGGTGTTTAGGCATGTGTTGCCATTGGGTGAGTCTTTATCCTTGTGTGTGGTTAATCTTTGTGGTTAGGATGTGTTCCTGGTGTTATCCTTGTGAGTGGTGAGTCTTGTGTTGTCTTTTGATCTTGGCTTTTGACTTATATATATGTATTCCATTTTGAAAATGGTTTTTATATCTTATATCTACCTATTTATGATACTTAACGGTATTGGTGGGTTACCAGCATCTTTTGTTGACCGGGCGTCGCCCCGATGTTTATCTTTGTATCTTTCAGGTGTTGAGTAGTCGAGCGCGATGTCTAGAGCCGGTAGCTTAGCACCTGTATCTTTAGACTGTGTTTTTGTGGCCTGTGTGCCAATGGTTTAGATTGTTTTTAGACTGATGTTTTGGGTTAGTGTGATACACTTGCAGATTGTCGCCTTAGCGTTACCTCGTGTGGTATACGTGGCATAACACCCCTGTTTTGGATTTCTTTTATCCAGTTTTCGTTTTCCTCTACTGTGCTAGTATTTTGTTGTTAATCTACATGTGTTAAGACTTGTTTTTAGGTCTTGTTGTTTTGGGGGTGTTACAGAAGCTCTTTGGGGCAGCGGGTAGGTGGCGGGTTCCCCCTACCCCCACCTACACCCACTGACTCTTTACTCATATATTCGTCCAGGGAACCTTTGTGGAACCCGAACCATGCTTAGACACTTTTAAACGCAAATAACGACACCACGTAAGCAAGTAACGAATCAAAAGCAAGAATTACGTTTGGACTTATCTTATCACGACTTCAAAATATAAATAACACCCGATCATGCGAATTCCCACCCAGATATAAATCAAGAACATCACAACACAAATTCCCAATCCATCCTAGGGCTCTAATCCCACCCAAATCATCAAGAACATATTTTACCTTTAGCATCAAGAAATATCAAGATTCGTCAAGAATCATCACAACAAAATCAAGAACCTCTTTTCAACATCAAGATCATCAAGATTATCAAGAAAGCATACAAATCATCTTATCAATCGTCAATAATATATCACAATTATCGTAGAAGAATTCATCAAGACACGAGAATATAGAGGGAGGCCAAAGAAGGAGATTATAGCGAAGAAAATAGGTTTTGTCGAGACACGGGTTTCCTCTTAGCCTTAATTAATCATCCCTTGGCTATTAAGGTTCTTCACGAAGATTTCCATCCGTTTTGATCTCCCTAGGCTTGGTGGTGGGGAGTCCCTTGGGATTTCTTGTGTGGTGATATTTATTGTGGTGTGACTTCTAGGTGCCTCCTATGTCCTTATATATATATTTGGGAGTCCTAATTAGGGTCTGAATGGTATGGGTTTACTAATTCTATTCCTTATAGGATTAAGGACTTGTTTTAGGGATAGGGGTCCATGGTCCATGGTGGACCATATTAATTAATTAAAGAGAATCCTAACCATGATCTGAATAGTAAAGGTATAATTTCTTTATTCCTAGTAGGCTTATGACTCTAGTTTAGGCAAGGGTGCACGATCCGTGGCTGACCACATTAATTAATTAAAGGTATTTCTAATCAAATTAAATCCTTTTTAATTATTATTAATTGAATTAATTAAATAATTAAATCGGGATTAAGGGTCGTAACACGGGGTGTTACAAGCCACTAATTCAGTCTACAATTAGCCATAAGGTTTCTTACACAAGTGTAAACAAAAACTTATGAATTTTATTGAATTGAAGCCTCCCTGAAATTGATATGGTAGTGCCCTATTTATAGGTATAGGGGCATTATAATCCTAAATACAATGGGAAAAAGAGCCCTAAACCTAATCTAGAAAGCAAGTAAATATAGTTCTATTTAGAAAGGGATTTAAGGAATCCTATTTAAATACAAACTAGTGTTTTCTCTTTTATGATGATGATCACAAATAATAAAGCTGATTTGGGCCTTGGATCTTGTGATTGGCCCAATTTGTATTATTAATGGATCTTAATTTTTTTGGGCCGCATCATCCTCCCCTTCTTGAAAAATGATACGACCTCGAATCTTCTAAACATTGTCTTCGATTCGTGGCATCACATGAAACGGGCCACTATAATACTTTCCTCTATCGAATGGAATTATTATTGGAATTCCTTGATTCTTCCATGTGTACTGGTTCTCTATTATTCTCCCATTCTTGAAAAGGACTCGTCCTCGAATCCAAATCTTCAATGAAAGACAAAGTAGCAAGCTCACTTTCTGTTTTATCATGCTCATGGAACTTTTTCTTGGGGTGCTTGACACGAGT